AGGGAATGAGGATAAGAGAGAACACTAGCTCTCTCATTTCCTTTTTCTTTTTTTTTGGGAGACAGAGTCTTGCTCTATTGCCCATGCTGGCATGCAATAGCAACATCTCAGCTCACTGCAACCTCTGTCTCCCAGGTTCATGCTGTTCTCCTGCCTCAGTCTCCTGAGAAGCTGTACTCTAAGTGCACACCACCATGCCTGGTTAAATTTTTGTATTTTATTAGAGACGGGGTTTCGCTGTGTTGCCCAGGCTGGTCTCGAACTCCTGAGCTCTGGCAGTCCACCTGCCTCAGCCTCTCAAAGTTCTAGGATTATAGGTATGAGCCACTGTGCCAAGCCTTTTCCTTCTAATAAAACTACTAATCCCATCATAAGGGGCCCAGCTTTATTACCTCATCAAAAGTAACTCCCAAAGGCCTCATCTCAAAAATATCATCACATTGAGGTTTAGGGCTTTCACATATAGATTTCAGAGAGACACAACTCATTACATAGCCATGGGTTTCACAGGCCATTCTGCCACCTACCAGCCTGTGACCTTGACATGTTACCTAATTCTTCCAGCCTTCTACAAATCTGGAGAAATGAACTTGAGACAAAGTGAAAGGGTTCTGGAAGTCTTGAGATGTAGAAACAGATGTAACTACATCATAAATGTATGGAAAGATATTTTCTGACTGCCAAATATATGTGTGAATGTGGGGAGAATATTCAGGGGGTGGAGGCAATAAACTGACCTCTGGAGATGGGGAGGAGGGCAGGTGTCATAGCCCTACAAGGCAGTAGCAATAGATGCTGTAAATGGAAATGTAAGCATAGATAAGACAGTACATATGGAAGTACAAAGGAACATCTCAAGTTCCTGGGAGAATTGGTGAAACAGAAAAGAGGAGTAGGAACCTTTGACTGCTGTTCATTGCCTGTTTTTCGTTTGTTCAAACTGTAGTCTCCCTCCCCCCACCCCAAGTTGATTGCATTTGTACTTAGAGAAAAGATGATATAGCATGATATAGGATTCAAATTACTAGACTGACTTACTAGATTTTAAAAGGCAAGGTCCAGTCATTTTACAATGATTTGGATCAGAAAGAACCAGCCCATTTCAACATTTTCCCTTTCTTTACAGGTTAAAGGAAGATTTCAGAGGCTATGGTCTAACACAAACCTGAATAGTACAATGAATCTCCAAAATGAGCTGGCAGGAAAGGAGGTTGGAACCCTGTATGAGTCACTTTCCAGGGTAAAGCCCAGGGAAGAGTGAGATTCTGAGTTCTACACTCCAACACAGAGAAGGAACAATAGAACAGAACTGTCCACGTGGCATGTGGAGGCAGGTAGAGCTCAAGGGACTTCATCTACCTCCCTTCCATCCATTCAGAACTGGGGAACCATAAATGATTTTGCATGCAGAAAAGTGGTGACAGATCTTGTCCCCACTGAGTTTCTACGTGTCTAAAGTGGCTTGGGAGGACTTCTCGGTGTGCTTTTCTTATCTAAAGAGCAGAGCAGTACCTGAGAGGCAGACCTGAGAATATCCCTCAGTGAGGTTGATCAGACATGAACTCAGGTCTAGGAAAAGGTGTATGTATGTCTACATACATCTCTAGTATTTCATGTGGAGGGATGATGATTGTCTTAGTCCATTAGAGCTGCTATCACACGATATTACTGAGTGATGATTTAATTCTCATAGCTCTGAAGGTTGGGAAGTCTAAAATCAAGTTGCTGGCAGATTCAGTGTCTGGTGCGAATCTGCTTTCTGATCTTAGATGTTGCCTTCTCACTGTGACCTCACATGGTGAAAGGGGCAAGGGGGCTTCCTTGGGTCTCTTTTCTAAGGCCACTAATCACATTCATGAGGGCTTGCCTTTCATAACCTGATCATCTCCCCAAAGGCCTCACCTGCTAATACAATCAACTTGGGGATTAGGATTTCAATATATGAATTTCAAGAGAACACAAACATTTAGACCATAGCAATGACCAAGAACTGTGGCTTTACAAGGCCATGCGCCAAGGCTAGGGGAACATCTGAGGCACTGGGAACCTGGGAAAAGATGGGAAGCCAGGATACTGGACTGCCCAACATCAGGTTCTACCACCGAGCGAAGCAGGAAATATATGTTTATTCATTCAAAAATAATTTTTTGCACACCTGAGTTTTTGAACTGATATTTCTATGCACTGCAGCTGAACAATTATTATCAATTTGACCCATTAGGAACAATAAAATCTGGGTCAGAACCCACCTACAGCTCAGAATTTGAGTTGGGGGTTGGGGAACATATAGTAGGCATCAAAGGAAAATGGAAAGAATCTAGTATATGTTAGGAAGGGAAATCCTCAAGCTTTAAATGTATTGCAGGGTGTGCAGCAAGGATGTGAAAACTAGAGTTGCCTTCACAATGAAGTGTCATACTGCATATAAGCTGACAGGAGCATTTCTGATGCCCTGCTCAGAAAAATAGACGAGTTGGATGATTTCCCTCAGGGAAATGGGATCTATTTTAAATGGGGATCTTAATGCTACAATTACAGCTCAGTTGTCTATGTACCAGCATTATGAGCCTTAAACAAGGGCACAATATGAATCAGGCCCCAGGAAACCTGTCTTCTACAACCTGATCCACCTTACAAAATAAAAGAGAAATAAGTAGTAAAATGTGAACTTGAGTTAGAGTCAGTCTCAATTCTGAGTTTTAGGTATTTTATCATGACGAACAAGATTAAGAGTCCCATGGTGTTTTTTTGGGGGGGATGGAGGGGGAGTCTAGGGAGTCACTTGAATTTAGAATATAAGCCAGAATACAGGAGAATTAAAGGAAGCAAGAAAGACCAAAGTTAGTAGGATTAATAAGGGCAGTATAGAACTTTATGTGCCTAAGCTGAATACATACCTGGCTGACCACAAAAGTGACTGTTAACCTATTAAGCTCAACAAGAACTTGTAGGTCTCCTTCTTGTCTTAGGACTCCAGAAACCACAGTTAATGAGATTACTCAGCTCTTCTGGGAAGACAATGTATTCTAATGATGGCCCATTCCGCATGTTGTCTTTTTTAGTGACACTCCTCTCTATCCACAGGTGAGATCTATATAATTCTCCTTAGATCTGGGTGGGGCATTAAAATTATTCCATCCAATAGACTATGATAGAAATGTTGCTATATTGTTTTCCAAGGCTGAATCCTTGGGCTATAGCTTCCACCTGTCTCTCTTGATCGCATTCTTAGGATGTGTGCCTTGAGCAACCAGCAACCATGCTGTGAAGAGGCACAAACCAGCCTAGACAGATAGATGAGATGGATAGGCTTACATGGAGTGGAACTGAGGTCCCCAGCCAGCAGCCAGCAGCCAGCATCCACCACCAGCCCAGTGAGTAAATGAAGCTTCAAATGATTCTACCACTCAGCCTTTGATCTGCTTCAACTGTTGCAATGCAGAACAGAGATAAACTATCCCACTAAATCCTGACCAAATTACAGATTCATGAACAAAACAAATTTGTCTTGTTTTGAGTTACTAAGCATCAGGACATATTTTTTACACTACTAAAGGTAACTGTGACTCAGCAACAGGCTTCACATGCCTGACATTACTCACACAAAATGATAAATTCATTTTGAGATCGTTAAAAAGTGACTCTAATTTTGCTTCATTGTTAACTTGGAATTATCTATGACCTCTCCAACTCCATGCCTTCTGGCCCAGTAAATCCCAAATAAATGAATATTATTATCTGAATTGAATATTAAAGTTAACTGAGAAGTCCCATGTAACAGCAAAAGTTCTAGACGCAGCCTGTTTCACAGGTGAACATACAGATTTCCAGCAGGAAAGAAAATATAATGGCCAAATATATTTTTTTTCTTTTTTGTCAAGTTCTCATTCTGAAGTACAGTGGTGCTATCTCAGCTCACCGCAGCCTCTACGTCCCGAGTTCAAGTAATTCTCCTGCCTCACCTTCCCAAGTAGCTGGGATTACAGGCATGTACCATCACCCCTGGCTAGCTAAGTATGTTTTACAGTGAAAGTAAAAACTGTTAAGTTCTATCAAAAAACAACTTACCTGAATGAAAAAAGCAGTAAATGTATAGTGAAAAAAACTGGGTTGAAATTTTCACACAGTCATTTTCTAGCTGAGCAAGTCACTTAATTTAGCCAGGCCTCAGTTTCCTCAAAAGCAAAACCCAGTGATTTTTTTCCTCAAAAGCAAAACCCAGTGGGGAATAATACCTCATTGGGACACTTCTTGTGAAGATTTAATTCAACAGATTAACAGACAGAAAAGTGCTCTAGATTGTTACACGAAAGAAAATAATGAATAAGAATTTTTTAAAATGATATTTTCAAAAAGGACCAGCTAAATCTTAAATGTTAAAACAGCCAGCTAAATCTTAACATTAATCAGAGGTCTACTTTTCACTTAGGAAAATTAAGGACTTATTTCATTAACCTGTATTTAGTGGTAGTACATGAAACTTATTTTTAATTTACTGATAACCATCTTACTAATTTCTATTTTGGGCAGCTGTGGTTTTAAATGTGCCTGGCCTCTTAGAGTTTCATCTGCTGATGCTTGGCTGTTATCCAAAACATAAGCTACAGGGAATGAGAGCTGGCAGCGTTGGTATTATATTTTTGATGTTTGAAACTCCCAACCAGTTTAGAGGTTTTTTTAATAAAGCATTTTAACATTAATGAATTAACAGCTTAATGTCAGGAACAAGGTAAAACAAGAGAGAGAAACCTTGATATAAAACATTTTTCTAGGAAAAAAGATCCCCATAACTGAAACCTTTTTACACTCTTGTTTAAAACCTATCATACCTGAATTAAATAAGGTGTCATGGTGGACAGAATGAGAAAGCTTATTCTGTGATGCTTTCTGGTACACTTTACATAAGAATCATCAAATGGCATTCACTTGCAGCTGCCCTCACCCTGGGCTTGATTTCACAGAACTTCCATTATCATAGGCACAATTCCCTGACCCCTCAGAAATGCTGCGAAGGCCTTCCTGGTTGAAGACACTGAAGCCTCTTGCTGAAGAAGAAATCACACCACAGCTGTGCTCCCCTGGGGCTTGTGCTCTGTTGAGAACTAAAGCCCCACAGTTCTTACAAGGGGGGTCCAGGAACCATGCCTATGAGCTTTCCGAGACTGTTTGAGAAATCAGTTATCCTCACCATAATGCATAGAAGTAGGAGTGAGATTTTAGCTGACTGCCGCCACTCCAAGCAGTCCTCTTTTATGACAAAGTGAGTGAAACATCACACGTTGGCATTTTAGAGGCTACATCTGGGTTTCACCAGTTAGATGTAAGAGTCCCGAGCCACCGTAAATATGTGCTTTGGGCAGCAGTTCAAATCCCACTTCGGTCATGTGTCACATGGATAAGCTCAGGAAAACTACTTAAGTTAAAATCTGCTGATAAAAGAAGTTCAGAATTTATTGAACCATTATGAAGATGAACTAGGATAATCCCCAGATAGTTTTAATACCTGGCCCATATAAGCCCTAAAAGGCAATCAGCAGCTAGTATCAAAATAAAATAAAATAAAATAAAATAAAATAAAATAAAATAACCAGCCAGGCATGGTGGCACACAGCTATAATCCCAGCACTTTGGGAGACCAAGACAGGCGATTGCTTGAGGTCAGGGGTTCGAGACCATGCTGGCCAACACGGCGAAACTTCATCTCTATAAAAAATAGACAAGTATGGTGGCAGGTGCCTGTAATCCCAGCTACTCGAGAGGTAGAGGGAGGAGAATCGCTTCAACCCAGGAGGCAGAGGTTGCAGTAAGCTGAGATCATTCAACTGCACTTTAGCTTGGATGACAGAGCAAGACTCTGCCTCAAATAATAATACTAATAATAACTACTGTTATTATTACAATATCATACATTTGTTTATTCATACAAACATTTTCTGTACAACAAATGTTTATTAAATGCTAATTATGTGTAAAGTGAGGACAAAGCAACTTCTAAGAAATTAATACAAAATAAATGACAAAAAATTTCTCTGCACCTACCTCAATTTTACCAGGAGAAAAAGATACGGGACATTTGGGGTCTCAGTGTGATTTCTGTAGCTTTGACTTTTCTACTTTCTCCTGTTATCTTGTGAACACGATGTCAAGCGAGATACAGAGTGTGAAAGAAAGCATCATGCCACAACCTTGCTTGTGAAAAGAGTATTTGAAATACCAACCATGCTGAAGGGAGGCTGAGAGCAGAGAGATTGACTGTCCAGTGGGTTGGTGGGGTCAACAGGAAGGTGCATCTCAGGAACCTAGAATTACGGTTCATCTATAAACCACCACATTAGATTCCTATAATAATTCACAAATCCATCTCAATGCAAAGAGCAAAGCTCTAAGTCTAACAGGACCTGATTAAAGTTAAGTGAAAAAGTACTGAAATGCTTGGTCATCAATGGAAGCAAAGAGTCAGGTTGCAGATGCAAATGTTGGCAATCCCCTTCACAGAACTAGCCAGTGTGCCTCTCTGGTCCACATCCCTATTGTAGAAAGAGACAGCAGGATCTGATAGCTTGATGCCATTCAGCACATCAGTGCTCCAGCTCATGGCTCTAGTTGTCACTGAATCCTCAACAACAATCTTCTTTTTTGATATTGGCTTCGTAAAACATTGACGATATGATTTCTTAGTTGGATTTTACAACTTAATGACCTAAAATTACAGGCCAAAAACCAGGACAGTGTTCCGTAACGGGGTGATTTTTGCCCTTGAGGGAACATGGTGAATGTCTGGTGACATTTTTGATTGTCACAACCGGGCGGTGCTACTGGCATTTAATGGACAGAGGCCAGGGATGATGCTAAAACTAAACCTGCTACAATGCTTCAGGCACCTTTCTCCCTTCCTCCCTCAAACACAAAAATTATCAGGCTCAAAATGTCAATAGTCCTGAAGTTGAGAGAGTGAGTTAAGAGAAAATATTTGGTGTCTTTTTTTTTTACTTCTATATTTGATACTGCACTCATGTTTTAAGAAAACTGGCATCTCTTGAGCATTTCACATGAGTAACAGGGCTCTCAAGTGTATTCCTAATTCTCACAACACTCTTTGAGGTCTTTATCAATATCTCCATCTTACACACGGAAAAACTGAGGGTCACAAAGGTTGAACGACTTGCCTAAGGTCACAGAGAACCAAAAATCAAATCCAGTTCTGTTTGAAGCACGAGGCATATTCTGTGACTCCACAGTCATAACTTGAATTCAGAAAAAACATTCCAGCTAACTGAAATTAGGTGGAATTTTAAAACCTGGGAGTTAGCTGGGAATTTTAAAATCTGAGAAAAGTTTCACTGAAGTGGACTCTGGAGAATAACATCGTCTCCTTGCACTTTGTGGAAAGTATTCCACTGAGCTCTACAGTGGATAAAGGGTCATGCTGCTGCCTTCTATCATGGTAAACACTTAGATCAAGATCAGGCTCACAGTGGATTTATATTGTACCATGCAATGATTTATGTTAATTATTCAATTCTGCGAATGAAATAGCCCATAGTTTTTACAAGGGAGGTCCAAGGAGCCATGCTCATGAGCTTTAAGAAACTGAGAAATCAATTATCTTCACTGTGGTGGATAGAGACAAGAGAGGCATCGCAGATGACTGCACCCACCCCAAGCAAGTCCTCTTTGATGACAAAATGGGTGAAACATCCCCCATGGGCATTTTAGAGCCTACATCTGGGTCTCACCAATTAATACATCCAGAGATGACCAGTTTCCTTTGACCAAACTTCTTAAAATGTAGCTTGTATTGGAATCATCTGAGAAGCTTACTAAAGATACAGATATTTTGATATTCTATCCCAGAGATTCTTATTTGACAGGAATTTGCAATATTCATAAGCATTTCATGTACTTTTGTTGCAATGGGTCTTAAAACAATCTATGCTGAAAGTTACCTAGAGTAAGTATCTATTTCCAACTTTTTGTTCCTCTCTAGGATTTCTCAATAGAACTACATATTTTTTATATGATGTGTTTTAATTATTTCTTAAAATAGACAAAAAGGATATAAAAATTTTATTAGCAGCCAATGTCTGAGATCAAAACACACCAGAGTCTTTTCTGGAAGGTCCATTCTCATTAACTCAATACTCACTGCACACCTATAAATCGGTGGCCCCCAGTTTACAGCTGAGGAAATAGATTAAGTCACTAAAGGCACACACAGTTCCTAGTGGAGTGATTTAGCTCTACTAAAGTGAAATATTCCCTTTAAGCAATTTTATACTGGCTGAAAGATCAGGCAAATATGCAAATAGCTATAGACAGGAAAGATGAAGTGCTATAAAAGAAATACGTTATTTGCTCTGGAAGTTCAGAGAAGCAAAAGAGAAGACACTATGAAGTGATCAGGCAGGGGTGGTTTTGGGTTATGGTTGCTGATGCTCTTCTCTAATTTTTAAAAATTGTTAATTATTCATGGTATATCAGAGTTATATCTGTTTACAGA